AAAACAATCATGGTATAATTTTATATAAACAATTGCGTTGTAGCGTTCCATCTCAGTACCTATAACATACATAACTTCATGGATTAGGTGGACCAGATAAGTTGTTAGGAAATTTTTCATTTTCTCTTTGTTTAGCAGTTCGTATATAGGAAGACAAAAATTCTATTGGTTCCAGAGGAAGTTCTCGAGCCAGTGCAATTAAAGCATCGCCAAAAATAGGTTCAATGTATTCGGTTAAATATTGGCGTATCGGCAAACTACGCGGATCAATAGGAATCTCTTTTTCCGGTGGCACTTTACACGGATTTTTGGGTTTCATACTTTTAACTTTTTCTTTAAAATCTTTGGGAGACATTGCTTGAGAAAATAATTTCTCCTTTGTGACCATAATACCAGTTGCTTCACATGGCTTGTCTTTAGTATTGACCGCGCCTGTCTTTTTCTTACATTTTTTTGAACTTTTAGAAGACAATATACTTTTAGAAGAGATTATTTCAGTTGTGATATATTTTGAAGCTTCGTTGTATTTTTCGCAAGACTCGCATGGTTTGTTTGATGTTGCAAGCTCAGGTTTATTTTTATTGGAAGTAGAAGGCTTGTTATCATCCTCTTTCACCACTGTAAGCTTTTCCGACTCCATAGTAATTTTATATTCGAAAAAACAAATTTAACACAATTTAGAATGAAATATTGAAAGTGATTCGATGGTAAATAATTTATAATAAAATTTTTCTTTTCTTTTTAACATTTTTAATTTTTTCAATTTATACTAAATTCATCGATTACTAAGGTTTATTTTAATATTAAATTTAGAATAGTTCATTGTTTTAAGCCATGTTTACATGCAAAAACACAATAACTATAAAGTAAAACCGTTATATAAATATGTAAAAGCGTGACGTTTGCAAACTAACTTCAGCAAAGTTCCTTCACTAAAGTTCGTAATGTAAACATATTAGTACTATTACTTACTAGTTATAGTAGTAGCTAGTGATTAATATTACAGATATTCTTTTGAAAGAATGTCGCAAAAAAATAACATAAAATAAACACTACCTTCGATGGCAACTCTGGAAAAAATGGAAATTTTTGTTTTGATACCTGATAGATTTATATATGTAAATACACAAATTTGCATATTTACAAATGACGCACATATAAAGTTAATATTTTGAAAATAAATAATTTTCTAATATTAAAATAATAAGTAGAAAAATAACAACTACGAAATAATTAACAAAAACATATGTTCACAGTTAACTGGACATTTAGTACGTACTTCCAAAAATCATTCACAAGAGAACAATTTTTAATCTTATAGTACGTTTACACTGTCTCATTTAGGCAGTTTTGCTTATTATAGCGACTAATGAGGATGATTTACTGTATAGACCGTGTGCGAGTTAGAGTTGAGGAAAATAGGTAATATTGTCGGTATGGCAGCAAATGTTGGTATTTACCAGAATTTCGGGTGGATAAAATAGATAAAAATTATGTATTACCGTTGTGAAAATTTTAAAAGATGTTTATAAAATAAATAAATTTGAAAACTTTTAACCATAATAAGTGCAATAAATAAATAAATAAATATAAACATAAGTGCAGTGCAAAAAATCTGTAGGAAATTTCAATTTACTTTATCTCAATTTACTTGACTTGCACACAGCCATAAAGTGCTTCCGTATATATGAGCTCATTATTAATAAATTAGCTCATTTAAGCCAAAACTGTCGAATGCCACCCTTAAAAATAAATTTTCCACAAAGAAAATTACAAAGATTTAAAATATGTGTCATATGTTTTATAAAGTAAATATGTAAACAAATAACAGCTGAGTTGTGAACAAAGGGAGAAAGTAAGTATTTAATAAAATCTTTGTTTTTATTAATTGAATTTGTGCTGGATATATGAAATGTAAATCAATGATTTAATATACCTATTATATATTTAATTTTTTTAATGTGATATATTATTAAGTGAAGTTTATGAAAGTTCTATCAGCTGCATAAATGAGCTTATTATAATGTGAACGTTCACTCATTAATATAAATCAACAAGTGCCTTAATAAGACAGTGTGAATGTGCTATTAGGGGCGTGTTATGGTTGTAGTCACAAGCACGCAATTGTTGTTGCTTTAAATTGAAAATAAAAATTTGACACTGACAGCTCATTCATTTTGCATTGAAAACAATAAAAATTGGTGAATATGACAGCAATCATAACGCCCCATAGCAGCGTGATTACGCTTTGAGGAGCTTATTAGTTAAGCGGTTTCAAAGAAATTGGAGTAAATAATGCAGCAGTGTTATTGTTTCATATATTCCTTTATAAAATAAGCGGTTGTTTTTTTTGCTAAATGCTTATAAAAGAATAGGCCTGTTGTATCTTAAAACATTGGGTTCAACTTACACAGTTGTTCACTACACTTTCAGTGTATAGTTTCTATTAATGTTATTAATATTAAATATTTAAATTTGATATCTTAAAAAGTGACCTATATGGGCGCCTAGCTTAGTGGGAAAAGTAACTCAGAATAGTTGACTACTAAAATTCGTTATTAAATCGATATGTCCTGAAAATCGGAATCATGTTAAAAACTTCACATAAAACTTTTTATTGAAACTCACCTTGAAACACCTTCAATGAGTTTTGAAAAAAATCAAAAACACTTGAAGAAGCTTTAATTAAATTTTCGGTTTTGGAGCAATATACTGAATCAACTATTTACTAGTGCCAAGGAAAACGGAGAGATAAAATTTTCTTAATTTGGGCAAATAAAACTATAAGAAATTCCTTAAGTGCGTGTAAACAGCACAAGGAAGCGTTCACACATAAAAGGAATAAAATGAAATGGAATCACCTTGTCGTGATTGTTGTGCAGCACGATTTTATGTTTACTTTAATTAGCCCCAGTTTTGCTTTTTGTTGCTCTATTAAGCAAACGAAATTTATGAAATCTTGAAATGGCAGGAGCGGAACAGCAGTAGCAGCACAAACCAAACTGTACCATAACAGGACTAATTAGATTATGAAGAAGGCAGACAGCAAAATGACTATTCATTTAATTTATGCACACGCTACTTAAGTGCTTTGTGTATTTATGTACATGTGAAGAGCGCAATATTCAAGCTTGCATCTTAGGAAAGAATTTAGTCATCCCAAGGAAAATTATCCAGTATACCATCTCCGTCAGTATCTGCAATTCCATTTGGCATCAAATATGCTTACCTCCGTGCCTAGGTTTTGGATAGACTAACATTACGACAAATTACCAGTGCCACTTAAGCAATGGCACACTTTTCTATGAATCTTTTCTCATCGCTTCCTTCCTTCACTTCATTTTCTTGCAAATTAAAGATACTGGGATTTATTTTTCACATTTTCCTAATTTTGTGGCAACCTTGTGACACTCCTTACTGCACAGGGCGTCAAGTAAGTTGTGGCACTATTGGTGAAATGGTGTGCTTATATATCTGTACTGGGATGTTCATGTGTGAATTTTCTAGACAAATTGTCTCACTGGAATTCAAGCGTTTAATTTACCTTAATTACAAGGGCGTTCGCAGGTGTCACCATTGTCATATTAGCGGCGCCACTCAAGGCTGCAAACTGTATTAAATGCAATTTAAGTGTTGATTAAAGCAATTCCTTTTTATATCCTTAAATTAAAATGTGCTCAATGTGTTCCTTCATATTTTTCACACAAAAACATTTAATGAATTTTATTTTACAGTAAATTTAACAGCCCGCAAAATTGAAAATATCATAAACAGAAAATGAATGACTCTCGCTTGGAATGGTAGTTCGCAGTAACAATGTAGGGAAATAAGAGTATTAAAAAAAGATTGTAAATATTTAATGTTTATAAATATATATATGTTGAAAAACAGACAGTTTTATTTTCTGACAGAGTTTGAAAATATAGAATTATCAAATTATGAAAATGTTTAAATAATGTAAAAATATTCATATATGTGAAGGTTTAAGCATCAATCAATTTAATTTCAGTTTACTTTGAAATTTCAACACTAATTTATTGAAATTTGCTTCCTTTCCGCAAAGGATGATCTGTATTTTCTTAACTAAAGCTTTCGATCACATAGTTTTGTCGGCTGATTCTTTGTTAATACCATGTTCACACTGCAGTTAAATCAACGTATATTAATTAAATTTTAAATTTGGTCGTTTCCATTGGCGTAAGTTGATATATGTATGTGAAAAAGCTTTTATATTTCAGAAAGTTCTGCGAAAGTTCTACGAGAACTTTTGTTTGTTTACATTTCAATTTTTAGCAGATAATAGATAGTTTCATATTGTTAGCAGAAATTAATTAATTGTACATGGAAAAAGCAAAAAATGCAAACAATTTTATATATAAGGGTATTCACTCTCTCTTGCAAACTCATTGCAAGGTGCACGAAATGCACAGATTGTACGAGAATGCAAATAACAACAACAAAATACACGCACAAAATTTCGTGCAATTGCGTGCAATCTTCCAATACTAAAACCTATGTATATTTGCTTGCAACAAAACAGAAATGGCAGAAATCAGCTGTTTTGACATTTGTTGCTTCTCATTTTTAAATTTGAATTGACGGTTAGTAAAATTTCGAGATATATTAATCTATGGCTATGCTATATACATGCGTTTCGTTCAATAATTTAAAACGATGTGGCCATTAATTAAGTTTTCACAAATATAATATTATATACATACACATTTGTGAATTAATTTATCTACTTATCAATTTCAGCGAAACTTACAAAAATTTGTCCACATTTTGAACTATTGAATGAAGTGTTTGGACGCATGTCTAATTTTCAGCCACTTGTGATATGTACAGACACATTGCCACAGCCACCAGCTAGTTCTGCACTAGGCGACGAAATTTATTT